TCCTCTCCCTCCTCCTTCACCACGTCCTCTTCCTCTTCCTCCTCCTCCTCCACCACGTCCTCTTCCTCTCCCTCCTCCTCCTCTCCCTCCTCCTTCACCACGTCCTCTCCCTCCTCCTCCTCCTCCTCTTCTCCTCCTCTCCCTCCTCCTCCTCTTCCTCTTCCTCTTCGACCTGTTCCTTCATTTCTCTGTGGATCCATTGTTCCAAAGCTCTGATTCGGGCCCTTTTATCTATTTATTTAAGGATCTGATTGATGTGTGTTCAATTTTGACTCTTGGCGTTTCCACCTGGGTAATTGTTTGCTAACTGAGCTCAAGCTGTGCTGACTTGAGTGAACAGTATTGAATGCTAGTGCTTTCTAAATGACCACATGGTGTAAGTATTTCTAAATTACCACATGGTGTAAGCACTGAGAAATGTAGGGATTTGTGTGTAGAGTTTTGCAGTAACAGTTCACCAAATCTGACTCATGTGTTAAAGCAGGGGAATAGTGTTTATAGTTCAGCAAAATGGGTGTGCTTTCTGAAAAATGGCGTTATGGTTTTGAAATTTTAGTTCAAAAGCCTGGTTATAGTGTTTTAGCAATCGAGAAAAACTGTAAAATTTTCGTTTAAACAAGAAAAATATATCTGTTACACAAGAAAACTTTTGAAATGTGCTGATCAATTTAATGCATCCTTGATGAATAAACACTTGCCCTAAATGTTTGAAAGGTAGTGTCTCACAAAAATATGTTTTGTTTTGTTTTTTAAAGAAGAAAAATATCTGCCAACGGATTATTAACAACTATTCACAGATTTCACTCATTTAATACAAAATGTTCATTTCTTTCAGTTCTGACAATTTTGAGCTCTCAGACTCACTGCATACTAAACCTAAAATCGGAATGTTTGGGGAAAAACGTTTGTTTCGAGATAAATTGTGAAACTAAGATAACAAGCATTTTTTTCAGCTTCCCTTACAAAGTGCTGCCTGGAATTGAGCGCAGTGATGGGAATGAGCTTTGAAACACAAATCCACTTCCAGTCAGTCATTGTGTTCCCCGTCTGATGTGTCAGAGTCATGGATAATCGGCCGCCTGGAATCACGCAAACTTTCACTGTCAGAAACGGGAAGAAGCTTTATCAACATTCCCATTAAAACTATCAATGCACTTTTCATATAATGGACCTATGAGACATCATGAAAGCTTTTATACTTTAACTTCAGACAGGACTAAAAGCTTCCTGCAGCTCAAACATGAGATCATCCTGATGCTGTAAACACTCTGATTAGAGATTCACTCTCATTATACATCACCGCTCAGACGTTTGGAAGACTTTCGGAAAGAAGTCTCTTCTGCCCAACAAGGCTGCTTTTATTTGATCTAAAATGCAGTAAAAATTGTGAAATATTATTACAATTTAAAACAGCTGTTTTCTATGTGAATATCTGTTACAATGTAATTTATTTCTGTAATCAAAGCTGCATTTTCAGCATCATTACTCCAGTCTTCAGTGTCACATGATCTTCAGAAATCATTCTAATATGCTGATTTATTATCTGGAAAGCTGCTTAGTATTTTGTTGGAACCTGTGATACTTTTTTTCAGGATTGTTTGATGAATAAAAAGTTAAAAAGAAGAGCATTTATTTAAAACAGAAATCTTTTCTAACACTATACTCTACAGTTCAAAAGGTTGGGGTCAGTACATTTTTATTCTTTCTTTTTTTGAAAGAAATTAAAACTTTTATTCAGCCTGATCGCAAACTTTTGACATTAACACTGTTATTATAAAGCTGCTTTGAAATTATCTGTTATATAAATGACTGACTTGACCTTTACATTTCTGCTTTTAGCAGACGCTTTTATCCAAAGCAACTAAAATAGAGGAACAACATAATTTCATCACAGAGCCAAAAATATCCATAGAGCACAATGTCATAAAGCTACTGGAAACGAGCTCCAGCTGAGAAGAAAATAAGTGATTTTAGTTAGTGTGTGAATGAATAAACTGAAAAATAACAGGCTCCAGCTAAAGAAACACTGCAGCCTCTTGATCAAACAGAGTTGGCAATCACATCGCTAAACAGCACACACACACACACACACACACACACACACACACACACACACTCACTCACTCACACAC